TCCACAACTGGGTGTTGTTTTTGCTTTGGCTCCATCCCTTCATTCTTTCTGGAGTTATTTCTCCACTGATCTCCAGTAGCATATTGGGCACCTACTGATCTGGGGAGCTCCTCTTTCAGTATCCTATCATTTTGCCTTCTCATACTGTTCATGGGGTTCTCAAGGCAAGAATTCTGAAGTGGTTTGCCATTCCCTTCTCCAGTGGACCACATTCTGTCAGACCTCTCCAGCATGACCTGTCCGTCTCGGGTGGCCGCACACGGCATGGTTTAGTTTCATTGAGTTAGACAAGGCTGTGGTCCTGTGATCAGATTGGCTAGTTTTCTGTGATTATGGTTTTAGTGTGTCTACCCTCTGATGTAGTTAGTAGGAGGCAATATCTTCAATGAGGGTCTAGTAAGAGAGGGGGCTAGAGATCTGTAACTTATACTGTGCCAGTCATGTTGGTTAGTGCTTATGTTCAGAGCAACACCAGCAGAGATCAACAGAGTTAAGAGCCATAGCAACATTGTTTGGAAAGTTTAATCCAGCTATGTCTAAAGTCAGAAGCGTGCCAGGACTTCCTGGTTATGTGAGTCAGTGAATTCCATTTTAGCTTTGGCTAGTTTGAGTTGAGTTTCTACCAGCTGCAGACAGAAGATTGATTATAGACAAAAATACCGCTGCGCTGAATCTGGAAGGGGACAATTAGCATTTGAATCCCTTGAATGTGCCAAGCATAATACATGCTAATCTTAGTTAAACTTAAGATAGCTTTATCTTTAAGGTTGAGAGAACAGGGGCTCAGAGATAAGTGATTTGCCTGAAGTTACGTAAAGTTTTGGTAGTTATGATTGGACTGCTAGTATTTCTAACTCCAAAGCCTATGCTATTTATATGGTACCGTGCAGTAAGGAAGCACAGAAATTAAATGGAAAAAAATAGTAAATTATAATTTTTGGATTTCTATTTCTCTTAAACTAGTTTCTTCTAGGGCTCCGAAACTGAGGAAAAAAGATGATCCTTGAAGCATCAGAAATATTAGATGTAGTATATGACCTGTTAAGCAATCAATCACGGATGGACTTTCAAAGCTGCTTTGAATCTTAAAATGGGATGTTTCTAGCCTAATTTTCCACAGGGTAAAGCTGGAAAATGTTCCTTTTTCCTCCTGCTTAGGGAGACCAGATTTCATATGTATGCAGGAAATGCAGAGCCAGGCAAAGAGTTCATTTCCATATCTCTAAGTGGGCTGTGTGCGCTTGACAAGGAAGGGCAAGTAAGGAGTATAAAATCACCATCAAAGATTCATGCTGAGGACACTTTTCTTGAGAGCTATATGGAGATGGCAGTACAAGAGGGGCTTCTTTCTAGGTAGAAAGAGGTGATAATTAAACATAATTTGTAGAAGAAAATTAATAGTGATGGACTTAAATCCTTTATAGCAAATGTAAATTTCAAAGCAATTTTGTGTGAAGAAGTAAAAAGCTATAATATATGGCTGAGTGGTATATGCTGACAGTAATGGTCCTCTTGTGCAGTGAGTTATTAAAGACTTTCATCTCGTGGTTTTCAATAATGAAAAGGAAGGCAGTCTGGGGGCATTTTCTGAGCTATGTTCCTTGTGTTGATTTAGCTTGTAAAACCAGTAGGTTATCTCAACAGCTGTATGGAAAAGGTTAAATTTGCTAAAAGACTAAAATGTGAGAAACATCCTATTTTATAAAAATGCATTATTTCTTCTCTGAAACTAACAAACTATGACCTTGGGCAAGTCATGTAATCTCTATGGGACTCGATCTTTACTTCTTGTTCAAGGATCTTATCCATAGCTTTTTCCAATTTCAGTAATCTACGATTCCTTCATCTGGTAAAAATATCCTCTTGGGAATGAAGAAACTTCAGGGACATATTGCTTGCAGTCATTTACTCTCTCTTCCCTTGTTTTTGAAATGAATTCTAGAATCAGTTCCAGGATTGCATGTCCTTCATTGAGCAAGATAGAGAGATGATGAAGAATCAGAGTCATTTCACAAAGCTTAATGTTCAAGCTTTCACAAAGATCTACGGAAGGAAAAGTTGTAGGAAAACCAATAGCTCAACTTAACTGGGTCACAGTACAAATGACTATGGGTTTGGGATGTGCTTGAATAGTCCTGGCTTGTGAGGATTGGACCTTGAGGAAATGAGAAATGGGATTCTGAAAGAAAGAAAAGATCAAATATTTTTGATAGTTTATTGCATTTATTAAACTTCTTAGGGTTGAACATGGAAAGTTAGTATTAATGTGTCATGTTTTATAGACCTTAATCATTTATGCTCTAGAACAGAACTAGTCATCTTTCATTAGTATGTTTTAAAAAACTGATTGACAATATTGACTCATTATTTCTAATTAAAGTCCAAACTACTCAGATTTACTTAGCTTTTACCTGTTGTCCTTTATCTGTCCCAAGATTCCATCTAGAACAATGGCTCTTTAGAGTATGACAATTTCTCAAATATTTCTTGTTTTTAATGACTTTGACACTTTAGAGGAATACTGGTCAGGTATTGAGAAGCATGTTTCTTAATTTGGGTTTGTCTGATTTTCTTTTTTTCCCTTTCATGATTAAACAGGACTTCCAGGTCTTTAGAAGACCATAGTATCTATAAAGTGCTAGCTTTATCACATCATAAGTGATGTGATACTAAATTTAATCACATGGCTGAGGCAGTTTTGTCAACTTTCTCCACTGTCAAGTTACTCCTTGGCTTTTTCTATACTGTGTTATTTAGAAGGAAGTCAGTCCCTCCCACAATTAAGGGAGTAAGGAAGTACAAACCACCTATTTCATGAGAGAGTAACTATATATATTGTTAGGAATTCTTCTGTATGGGAGATTTACCTGTTCTTATTAATCAAATTATTTATTACATCACTATAGGCTCATAGATATTTAAGTTTAGATTTATACATTGGGTTATATTCTAATACATGTTATTTATTTTATTGCTCAAGGTTTGCGCTTTGGACGTTCAGAGCTCTTTCTGTGGCTTCTATGTTCCTCTGACATATCCTGCTGGGTTTTGTTTTTCCTTGCCTTCTGACACTATGAGATGCTCCCGGCTCATCCTGTATATTCTTGCCTTGGCTTTCAAAACTGTCATTTCTTCTGGAAGTCCTCATTTCCTTTATTGGAGAATGATGTTTGAGGGAGGGAGGAATGGGGAATGAATTTTTAATGGATACAGAGTTTCAGTCTAGGAAGATGAAAAAAGTTCCTGAGATGAATGGTGGTGATGATTACATAGTAACGTGCATATCCTCACTTAATGCCACTGAACTATACACTTAAAGATAATTAACGTGGGAAATTTTACATAATGTATATTTACCACAATTGAAATATGCTTTATCTAAAAAACAAAAGCAAACCTTACAACTGTTTCCAGTGAATGAGAGTTCATGTTTTTCCACATTCTCACTAGCACTTAGTTGTCAGACTTTGTGTTGGGTTTTTGTTCTAGCTATGCTAATAGGTGTGTAGTGATATCTCATTGTTTTGATGGTGGCATCTCATTATTGTCTTAATTGTCATTTCCCTAATGACATCTGGGGCTTTCCAGGTGGCTCAGTGGTAAAGGTTCAGCCTGTAATGCAGGATATGTGGGTTTGATCCCTGAGTCTGGAAGAAGCTTGGAGTAGGAAATAACAACCTATTCCAGTGTTCTTGCCTGGGAAATTTCATGGACAGAGGGGCCTGGCAGGCTACAGCCCATGGGGTTGCAAAAAAGCTGGACTAAACAATTAAACAACAACAATGAAATATGATATTGAGTGTCATTTCATAAGCTTGTTTGTCATTTGCATATCCATTTTGCTGGTGTGCTTAATATTTTGATCTTTTAAAACTGTTTATTTTTTTCATTGCTGAGTTTTAAGAATTCTTTTTACATTCTGGATACGAGTCCTTTATTAGATATGTGATTTGCAAATATTTTCTAGAAGTCTATGGCTTCTCATTCTCTTAACAATGTATTTCACAGAGCAAGTTTTTAATTTTAATAACATCCAACTTGGGGTCATTTTTTTCACGGATTATACTTTGTGTTTTTGTATCTAAAAAGTCATAACCAGTGAATATCATACTAGTTTTCTTCTAGATGTTTTATAGTTTTCATTTAACATTTAGGTCTGTATACATTTTGAGTTAATTTCATATAAGTTATGAGATCTGTGTCTATATAGAGAGATGTCTAATAGTTTCAGTAGTTTGTTGGAAAGACATTCTTTCCCCACTGAATTGCCTTTGTATCTTTGTCAAAAGTCAGGTGATTAGGTTTCTGTGGTATCTTTATTCCCTTCCATTGATCTATGTGTTTATTCTTACACCAAAACTGTACTGTCTCTAAAATGAAGCATAAGACATTTAATGTCTTTTTTTAAAATTTCATCTTTGTTTTATATTAGGGTATAGTTGATTTACAATGTTTTTAGTTTCAGGTATATAGAAAACTGATTCAGTTACATATATATCCATTGTTTTACAGTTTTTTTTTCCTGTATAGGTTATTACACAAGAGTGAGCAGAGTACCTTGCACAATACAGTAGGTCCTTGTTGACTATACATTGTATACAGTGGTGTGTATATGTTAATTCCAACCTCCCAACCTCTGAATTTGTCCTCTCCCTGACTTTTCCCCTTTGGTAACCAGAAATTTGTTTTTGAAGTCTGTGTATCTGTTTTTGTTTTATAAATAAGTTCCTTTGTATCATTTTTTTAGATTCCACATATAAGTGATAGATATGTGTCTTTCTCTGACTTACTTCAAGTAGTATGATAATTTCTAGATCCAACCATGTTCTACAAATGGCATTATTTAATTTCTAATGGTTGAGTAATATTCAGTTGTGTGTGTTTGTGTGTGTGTGTGTGTGTGTGTGTGTGTATCACATCTTCTTTATCCACTCATCTATCAATGGACATTTAAGTTGCTTGCATGTCCTGGCTATTGTAAAAAGTGCTATAATGAACAGTGGATGCATGCATCCCTGTGAACCATAGTTTTCACTGGATATATGCCAGGAGTGGGATTATTGGATCATACGGTAGCTCTATTTTCAGTTTTTTAAGGAACTTCCATACTGTTCTCTATAGTGAATGCACCAGTTTTCATTTCCAACAACAGTACAGGGTAGTTCCCTTTTGTTCACACCCTCTCTAGCAGACACTGTTTGCAGACTCTTTGATGATGGCCATTCTGATATTGAGCCACATAAGTTGCTTGTATATCTTGTAGATTAATCCCTGTTGGTCACTTCATTTGCAAATTTTTCTCCCATTCTGTGGATTGTTTTTGCATTTTATAGTTTCCTTTGCTATGCAAAAGATTTTAAGTTTCATTAGGATCCCTTTATTTATTTTTATTTTTATTTTCACTGCTCTAAGAGGTGGATCCCAAAAGATACTGCTGTGATTTATGTCAAAAAGAGTTCTTCCTATGTTTTCTTCTAGGAGTTTTATAGCGTCCAGCCTTACACCTAGGTCTTAAATCCATTTTGAGTTTACTTTTGCACATGGTGTTAGGGAGTGTTCTAGTTTCATTCTTTACACAAGGCTGTTCAGTTTTTCCAACAGCAGCTACTGAAGAGACTGTCTTTTCTCCATTGTATATTCTTGTTTCCTTTGTCACAGATGAACTGACCACAGGCACATGGGATTATTTCTAGGCTTTCCATCCTTTTCCGTTGATCACTATTTAGTTTTTGTCCCATGGCCTTACTGTTTTGAATACTGAAGTCAGGATTCCTGATTCCTCGGCTCCATTTTTCTTTCTCACAATTGCTTTGACTCTTCAGGGTCTTTTGAATCTTCATACACATTTAAAACTGTTTTGTTCTAGTTCTGTAAAGAAATGTAACTGGTAATTTAATAGGAATTGCACTGAATCTGTAGATTAGTTTGGGTAGTATAGTCATTTTGACAATATTGATTTTCCAATCCAAGAACATGGCATTTCTTTTCATTGATGTTGTCTTTGATTTCTGTCATTAGTGTCTTATAATTTTCTGAATACAGGTCTTTAGCTTCCTTAGGTAGGTTTATTCCTAGGTATTTTATTATTTTTGTTACAATGGTAAATGGGATTGTTTCCTTAATTTCTCTCTGATTTTTCATTGTTAGTGTATAGGAATGCAAGGGATTTCTGTGCATTAATTTTGTCTCCTGCAGCTTTACCAAATTCATTGATGAGCTCTAGAAGTTACCTGGTAGCATCTTTAGGATTTTCTATGTATCACATCATGTCATTTGCAAACAGTGACAGTTTACTTCTTTTCCAATTTGGATTCCTTTTTTCTTCTTCTTTGATTTCCATGGCTAGGAATTTCAAAACTATATTAAATAAAAATGGCAAGAGTAGACATTCTTCTCTTGTTCCTGATCTTAGAGGTAAATGTTTTTAGCTTTCCACCATTGAGTATGATATTAGCTGTGGATCTATCATATACGACCTTTATTATTTTAAGGTTTCCTTTATGCCCACTTTCAAGAGAGTTTTATCATAAATGGGTGTTGAATTTTGTCAAAAGATTTTTCTGCATCTCGTGAAATGATACTATGGTTTTTATTCTTAAATTTGTTGATGTAGTATAACAAACTGATTTGTAGATACTGAAAAATCCTTGCATCCTTGGGATCAATCACAGTTGATTATGGTATATGTTCTTTTTGATGTACTGTTGGATTTGGTTTGCTTGGTACTTTGTTGAGAATTTTCGTGTCTGTGTATATCAGTGATATGGAGCTGTAATTTTCTTTTATTGTGGTATCTTTGTCTGGTTTTAATATCAGGGTGATTTTTGTCCTTATAGAATGAGCTTGGGAGGGTTCCTTCCTCTGAAATTTTTGGGGACCAGTTTCAGAGGCATTGGTATTAACTGTCTCTAAATGTTTGGTAGAATTTAACTGTGAAGTTCTTATCCTTTGTTGTTTAGTTGCTCAATCATGTCTGGCTCTTTGTGACTCCATGGACTGTAGCATGCCAGGCTTCCCTGTCCTTCACCGTCTCCTGGAACTTGCTCAAACTAATGTCCACTGAGTCCATGATGCCATCCAACCATCTCGTCGTCTGTCATCCCCTTCTCTTTCTGTCTTCAATCTTTCCCAGTATCAGGGTCTTTTCCAATGAGTCAGCTCTTCCCATCAGGTGGCCAG